GCCCTCTTGGTCACCCCTGTGGTCACTCTGGTCACCCCCCTGGTCACCCCTGGTCACCCCCGTGGTCACTCTGGTCACTCCCCTGGTCACCCCTGGTCACTCCCCTGGTCACCCCTGGTCACTCCCGTGGTCACTCTGGTCACTCCCCTGGTCACCCCTGGTCACTCCCGTGGTCACTCTGGTCACCCCCATGGTCACTCTGGTCACCCCCGTGGTCACTCTGGTCACCCCTGGTCACCCCTGTGGTCACTCTGGTCACTCCCGTGGTCACTCCCGTGGTCACTCTGGTCACCCCCATGGTCACTCTGGTCACTCCCGTGGTCACCCCCATGGTCACTCTGGTCACCCCCGTGGTCTCTCCGCAGGGATGGACGCCGGCTTCGTCTTCTTCCTCTTCCTCCTCATCGCCGCCCTCATCGCGGCCGGCGCCGCCCTGGCCTGCCACATCAGGTGGGTGGCCCTGGTGGCCCCAGTGTCCCTGGTGGCCCTGGTGGCCCTGGTGGCCTCGGTGGCCCTGGTGTCCCCTCAGCACCTCCGTGTCCCTGCCCTGGTGGCCCTGGTGGCCCTGGTGTCCCCTCAGCACCTCCGTGTCCCTGCCCTGGTGGCCCTGGTGGCAGCTCGGTGTCCCCACACCGGAGTGTTCCCGCTGTCCCCACTGTCCCCGCTGTCCCTTCACTGTCCCCAGTGTCCCCAGTGTCACCAGGCTGTTCCTGCTGTCCCTGGTGTCACCTCCCTGTCCCCGCTGTCTCCTGGCTGTCCCCTCTGTCCCCAATGTTCCCTCACTGTCCCCTGTGTCCCCTGCCTGTCCCAAATGTGCCTCCAGTGTCCCCAGTGTCCCCTCAATGTCCCCTCAATGTCCTCAGTGTCCCCAATCTCCCCAGTGTCCCCAATGTCCCCTCAATGTCCCCCATTCCCCAAATGTCCCCAGTGTCCCTTCAGTGTCCCCAATCTCCTCAATGTCCCCAACCCCCACAATGTCCCCAGTGTCCTCAGTGTCCTCAGTGTCCTCATGTCCCCAATCCCCCCAATGTCCCCAA